GAACCGGGAACCGGTAGGAACCAGAACCGATATAACCGGAACCGGTAGAACCGGCAAAAACCGGAACCGTATGATGCTATTTTTTAAGGACCGGTTCCAACATTTGAAGACACGACAAGAACCGGGAACCGGTAGAACCGCCGGGCCGGTTCGGTTCTTGATTTTTGCCGAAGTCGGTTCCCGGGTCGGGTCCGGTTCCGGCCGGTTCCGGCCGGTTCGGTCCTTTTGCTCATCCCTAGTTAAAGCATATATATATATATATATATATATATATATATATATATATATATATATTATATATATATATATATATATATATGCTTAGGTTATTTTATTCAAAGTAATTATTGTGTTATTGTATTAATAAATGTGGGCCAAGTTAATTGACTCTTTTACCCTTCAATTATTCTACCTTCGTTATCCCAGTAAATCAAAAAATTCATTTATCTCTCAATAAAAACTATATCAAAAATTCATATCGTCCTAAATTCAAGCCTTAATTTACGCATTGACGATGAACAATTCAAAATCAAAGCTCTTTAACTTAAAGTGGGATTAGGGCTTCTCTCAACCATCGTCGATACACTTTTGGCATTTCTTCTCCGCCTTCCCAATTCTCTGCGCTAACAGATTATCGCCTCATGAAATTAATCACATTACTGTATAGAAATGCTTCACCGTTTCACCATCGATGATGATTTCTCAGGCTACTGATTTTGGATTCTTGGTTTCCTTAAATATAGGTAAATGTTTATGAAGTTATCATATTTTTTTTTATACATGGAGTTGATTTTTTGTAGGTCGAATCTCACAGATATTGAATATTGGAGTATGATGTGAAGATCGAACAAATTTTTAATAGAAGACTATGAAAAGTTATTTTTTAGTTTTCTTTTGATGTCTATTTTGATGAACTTGTCTCTGCTTATAGTCTGTAAATTTTCAATCAGGGCATCTCTTGAAGATGAGACAAAACCATCATTGATGGAATGGAATGCGAACATGCTTCTTTCCCTCTTAAAAAGTCGGGAGGAAGGTATTAGATAATATTAATATTAAAGAATGTATTTATTCTCCAAAATGCGAGTTGTTTGAGTCTTTGTCATAATTTCTCAAAAAAATAATTCAGCCACTAAAGCTATGTTTTTTTTTTTTTTTTTTTTTTTTTTTTTTTTTTTTTTTTTTTTTTTGTATTTCATCATGTAATCCTAATCCTAATAAAAGAATCCCTTCACGACACATGTAATATTCTTCATGCCTCCTCCTCTCCAAGTTAATTGACTCTTTTACACTTCAATATCCCTGTAAATCAAAAAATTCATTTATCTCTCAATAAAAACTATATCTAAAATTCAAATCATCCTAAATTCAAGCCTTAATTTACGCATTGACGATGAACAATTCAAAATCAAAGCTGGTCGTCGAGGCACTTTTGGCCTTTCTTCTCCGTCTTCCCAATTCTTTGCGCTAACAGATTATCGCCTCATGAAATTAATCACATTATTGTATAGAAATGCTTCACCGTTTCACCATCGATGATGATTTATCCATGGAGTTGATTTTTTTGTAGGTCGAATCTCACAAATTATGAATATTGGAGTATGATATGAAGATCGAACAAATTTTTAATAGAAGACTATGAAAAGATTTTTTTTAGTTTTCTTTTGATGTCCATTTTGATGAACTTGTCTCTGCTCATAGTCTGTAACTTTTCAATCAGGGCATCTCTCGAAGATGAGACAAGACCATCATTGGTGGAATGGAATGCGAAAATGCTTCTTTCCCTCTTAAAAAGTTCTTAAAAAGTCGGGAGGAGGGTATTAGATAATATTAATATTAAAGAATTTATTTATTCTCCAAAATCCGAGTTGTTTGAGTCTTTGCCATAATTTCTCAAAAAATAATTCAGCCACTAAAGCTATGTTTTTTCTGTATTTCATCATGTAATAAAATAAAAAATTTCTTCAATTTTTTGATCAAACGGAATGGACTGGTATTATGCAACCTTCGCCTTCGCCCATGACATCTGCACATATCAATTCTCTACTAATGTTCCCGAAATTGAGATTGGTTCATGCTTAAAAATTATACTTTCAAAATATATAGTACCTTATGTATTTGGTGAAAGTAAATAACTTTTTATATTTTCTTTTAGGTTCTTTTTATGGTGTTAGAAAGTGATTGTTTAGTTTGGATTCACTTTTAGGTTTTTTATGGTTTGTAAAGTTATTATATTTTCCTTTTCGTGATCTTCTTATCCCCGGTTAATATGGAAGGCAATGGGGTAGTTCTTTCAGGAGTAACTTTGTGTTAGAAAAATGACACCCTTGCATTGTTACATATAACTCTGATTTTACATATAAATCCCAATAAGTTTCAGTTGGTATGTGCCTTATTGCAAGCTATAGTCTTTTTTTAGGTTTGAACTTTTGCTCCTCAAAATTGTAGAAAATATACCTAACCACTACATCGATTATTTTTTTACATTATAGTAATGCTTTTGTAAATGAAATTGTTTCTGTAAACTATTTTGATATGCATATTCTTTTTTCGAATAGTTTTATGTATTCATATTTTTTCGATGGATGTCTTTTAAGGGCTGAACATGTATACTTTTTTTATCTATTAATGTTTTTTTTAAGGTTTTGAGTTTACCATCTAGGACTTAATGTAAAATAAAAAATAAGAAACAATATGTGTTACATACAAATATCATCTCATTTGAACTTTTATAAGTTTTTTTTTCAAATAAATACTAACAATGGTTTTTAGACGATCTTTACTTGATTTATTTTCTAAAGATGATTAGGCCCATTGTTTTGTTAATAGGGGGTTTTGAAGTAACCCTTCGAAACAATTTATACTTTAAGACTTTGCACCTAATAATCAATGTGATTGCAACTTCAGTTGGTTTGGATCTCATAGGCATAGCTAGCCTTGGTGGGGAATGATTGGAAGAAGAAATGTGGCCATGTACAAAGTCAAGGTAACATTTTATATATTTCAAGTAAATATGATTTTTGTTACATCTGATGGAATAGAAACGAATAGCATAAATTTGTAAATATGTTAAAACACCGATAAATAAAAGTAAGTTTCTATTGTTGCAATAGCAACATACTTTCATTTGATTGATGTTTTATAGCATTCTACTTAAAAATACGGATTCTTTTTGAAGCAGTAAAATATTGGACTAAACAATAAAGAACGGTTTTATTGATCTAACCCCATGTTTATTGTTGGCGCAGTGAATTCCATGTAGTCGTTTCCGACATTCTCATATAGTTATGATTTGCTTTTAATATGGTTTTTGGGAGCTAAATGTTTTGATGAACTTTTTTTCAACTTTTTTAGGTAGTTGAAGTTGTAGTGGTTAATTGGATTTATGATAACCGATGGAATTGATGAGGCTGGTAAGAAAAAAATGAAAGGGATTATGTTACAAAAAAATTAAGTTTAATGTTATACTTTTATATTTAGCGATTATTAGAGAGCATCAAAGGTTATATGATATTATGTTTGGGATATATTCAATTACCTATCTCAATGAAAAATCGTGGTTTACCTTGTATGTAATTTGGGCATTTTGCTGTTTATTTGGAACAGGTAGATATCAGTTACTATTCATTACAAATTGTCAATGAATTCATGCAATCAATCTTTTCAGTAAGTGTTAATTCATTTAATTGCATGTTCCTAAAAAAAACAACCCTTTCGTGGTTTTTTTTAATCCATGGTGTGTCCTTTTTGATACTAATGGGATTAAGTTTGTATAGTAATTTCCAACATCTGCTTTGAATGGTCCACATACTCTAAACGTGTGTATGGTTTGGAGGAATTGGGAGTAATAAATATGAAGGATTTAAAATTACAATCCTATTAGTAATCATGTCTAACAAATTGAAGATTTTATATTAAAAAAAATCATTTGTCTGTGTTTTTTCATATTTCCTTCCATACCCCAAGAATTTTAAAATCAAAATCCATAAATATTCTGAGTTTAGAATAAATTCGCTCTAATAATTCTTTATAATCAAAGATGATTTCACAGTTCTCTAATCTCAACCCCTCTTCATCTCCTTATATCCTTCTATTATCAAAGACGGCTATTATCAAAGACGGCTACTGGTTAATCATCCCCACACAATCCCTGTTATCTTTGACTTGCTGTCATCATGTATTTTGTTTTTCAATAATTCCATGCAATATAATAATATCCTTGACAACAATGTTTTATGTGTCTGTTTCTTGATTTAATCTTGGACCCATAGATTCCATTTAGGATGCTCCTTTATTTTTAACATATTCATAGAATATTTTATATTTTCTTATTTTCATAAACAAATTAAATTAACATATTAAAATGCTTAGAGTATGAAAGAAAATTTATAAGTGTATAAAATAAATTAAAATTAAGGTAAAAAGAGCAACATAAAAAATATTTCAATTAATTTGAGACATGTAGGCACAACATTCCTAAATATTGAATCGACAACATTCCATATCGGTTTAGAATGAACGCCAATATACCTCAAAAATTATATAATGGTCTATCTTATACCTCCAACCAAACACATAAATTTTAATGAATGCTTTTAGAATAATGTCAAAGATTACAAAAAAATTGGCTCAACGTTTTCTATTCGATACGGATAGGAGAAGAACCCGATCCGGTATTATTAAAAAAATGGAGAAAACAGAACCAAATCAACATCATACAGATCAATCCTTTTCAACTCGGGCGTGTCATTTCCATAGGAATCCCACCAACCAACCGGAGATTTTTCTTTTCTTGTTAGCTTAGCTACATTAAGACCAAAGATACCTCTTGCATTCGTGAATTGATCAAACTGACAATCAATTGTCTTCGCTAGGTTCTCATCAGCACCACATATTCTTTTTAGGCACATGTACAATCCATTTTGATCCAACCATTATTCTCAAAATCATCGGTATATTGCATCTGTGGGTTCAAGTAATAACCCGCCACATGTTGTGCCCTATTCATTTTGATTATACCATCTATCATCAATGATATCATAAATAGGTCCATACCTGAAAATATATGTAAAGTATATGAGTTGTTGGTTTAAAATTAATTCTGAAAAATATAAACAAAAGCCAAAAAGAAGTTACCTTGTTTGGTTATCTTTGAAGTTTGCTTTAATTTCCTTCTTTGCATTTACCATGGCTTGGTAAATGAAAACCATAGCTGGTTTAGAAACTGAATCAACCAATCGAAGAACCTTCATTAAGGGTTTCGCGGCCCTAAGGCATGTGATAACTGATGACCAAAATCCTGCAGTGTCCATAGCTATATCCTCAACATCCTTTCCGGTGTCATTCCTTGCATAGTTAGTAGACAACCATTTTCCAAATACAAAAAACGAGATCAATGCACTTTTCAACTCAAACAAGCGACCAAGTGTAAGATAAGATGTGGTAAATCTAGTTGCTCCAGGCCTAAGGAGCTCTTTCCCTTTTGTAAACTCTTTCAACAAGCAAATTAGTCGTGACCTATAATAAATTAAACTTGTTATAACTTATAACTTATAACTTATAATTGATAAAAGAACTTATATAAAAAATAAATAAGAAGTTAAGAACCAATTGTCACCTATTATAGATGAAACTTGTTATCTTTCTTCCCTTTGTAATTGTCACCTTATGTTCTTCAATATTTTTCTCAAAATCCTCCAACATTAGATCTATACAATGAGCTGCACATGGTGTCCAAAACAACTTCTTTCTCTTTTGCATCAACATCTCCCCAGCAGCCTTATAGTTGGAAGCATTATCCGTGACCACCTGAACCACATTTTCTTCACCTATTTTTTCAACAAAGTCATCTAACATTGAAAATACTTTCTCCTTCGTCTTGATAATGTTAGATGTGTCGATTGATGCTAAAAATATAGTTCCTCTAGGACTATTTACAAGAAAATTACATATCGATCGGTTTTTTTGATCACTCCATCCATCACTCATAAGTGTGCAACCGATCTTCTTCCATTACTTTTTGTAATCTTCCATCAATGATTTGGTGTAATCAACTTCCTTTTTCAACATTGTGACCCGTATTTCATGGTAAGAAGGAGGATTAAGGCCTCTCCCAAATTCACCAACCATTTCAATCATTTTTTGAAACTCGGGATTTTTTACACAGTTAAAAGGGATGACACTTGTGTAGAAAAACCTTGCAATTTGTTGGCAAACTCTTTCACGTTCTTCCTTCTTGAAAATAGAATTCATTGTGCTTTGAACCTTTCCTTTTTTTGTCACATTTTTTTCCAAGTTATTTCCTCTTGCTTGCCTCTCATAGACCTCATCATCTTCACTGGCTGAAAATGCACCTCTCTTTTTCTTTGTTACCATATCATTCTCTTCCAATAACCGACAAAATTCGAGCATAACATTTTCGGGAACTTTATCACAATGCGCGACATTATTACGTGTGCGAGCTAAGTGGTGTTTGAATCTGAAAATCCCACCAGAGCATACAGAGTTACAAAATTTACACTTGACTTTCCGATCATGCATATCTAAACCATGTAGCCAACCAGGATCAGTTCTGGCCCCACTATCATTTTTTCTCATTTTACTAGTTGATGAAGGTGCATAAGAAGTTGTTGGAGCTGATCCAGAACTACTCTCCATGATTTCTGAAATAAAGAAAATAAACACAATTGTTATAAAAATTGAATCAAAGCTGGAAAGTTGAAAGTTGAAACAAATAATTTAGTAAATAGCACTTGTTTGATTAATGTGGAGGTTTTCTGATAAAAAATTCTAGCCATATATACCCATGAGCCTACAATAATCAATGTACAAGGGTAAATATGTCATTACACACCTAACCATCAATAAAAAGACAATCACTTTACATGGGTGGATCATGGATGTATAATTCCATCCTTATATATATATATATATATATATATATATATATATATATATATATATATATATATATATATATATATATATATATTTGACTATTGTGTTGTTACTTCTGAAGTTCTGATAAAACAAATGATGAAATTTAGCTACTGTGACATGAAATTGAAGAAAAAACGAATATCATGCCTATGTGACAGTTCTTGGAACAAAAAAGGGGAAGAAAGTCGCAAATATCATGCATAATCATATTATCATGTACAATGTGACAGTTCTTGTAACAGCTTCTGTCCCACAGTCAACTAACTTGTAAAGAATAAGGTAGAATTCTGAGCAATGTACTGACTACGAGTTCGATTTATATTTAAGCAAAATCATATTATCATGTACAATGTGGTTATTGTGGTCAATTTCTGGTGATAAAAAACGACAGAGGAGAAGAAATCTCATTCCCAGAAAATTTATGTATAAGCAAAATCGGAACTCACACAATTGTTGAACAGTCGGCAGTTCGACACTAAGTTACTAACCTTTTGCGTGATCTCTGAGGTTGATTTGTTCAGAGTCGGCGTCAATGCTTCATCCGTTCATCAGTTCGTCAACAGAAGAAGAAGGGAAAGTGGGAAACGATTCTATCATTCTAGGGTTACAATGTTATTCTTGACTTTCGTTTCCGTTTGAAACTTTGAATGATATCTGATCGTGTAATCGAGAAAGGGGCATAAGCCTAAGGGGTAAAGAGTAAATCCAATTTTAAATGGAGAGTAGGATCGGATCGGATCCCGATCCTACGATCCCATATGCGATCTTAGGATCCCACTCCCGATTCTTGACTTCTCGTTTCCGTTTGAAACTTTGAATGATATCTAATCGTGCGATCCTACAATCAGGATCGCGATTTTGACAACCTTGATTAGCTCCACATACAAAAGCAAAAGACAAAAACTCACATGAAAATAAGATAATACTATTAAAGATCACGCCACCTCAAGCAAAGGGCTAATGACAACCAAAATGTTTAAACAATAGATTGCAAAATCCAAATCCACCATTGGTTCACAAAATGTTGAAATCATATCCAATTTGACTTGTCATACATACGTCTATGGCTCATGGTGTATGAGATTAGCATTTAAACAATCATGCGGAAAGTAGAACTTTGACCGAAGGTAACCCCGCATCTCAAGTTTAACAGCTGCATATTCTTCTGTCTTTTCACAGCACACCCACTTCATTTCATCAAAATCTAGTTTGTGAAGTAATAGGGTATGGTACGGAAATACCCTTACCCTTACCCGTTCTTGAACATGCTAGGACAACATGTTCAAAGAGGCCCAAACCGACAAGTAACAAACTGGCCTAATGACTTTAGAGGGAAAGAAGGTGTAACGCCCGGTTCCAGGTATGTATTTTACATAAGAATTATTCGTTTTTGCAAGGGGACTCGACGAGTTGGAGGCCCCAAACTCGTCGAGTAGGTATGGGAGAAGTTTGGACGCGGGACTTGAAGTCTACTCGACGAGTCAAGGAGCCTCGACTCGATGAGTAGGACTTCCAGAGTGAAACCTTAGTTTTTAGCCTTTGCACCCTATTCAAAGACCTTAACACCCTATTTTGGCCTCCCTCATCGCCTCCCTTAGTCCAGAAAACCCTAACTCGAAACCCTAACCCATTTTGAGTGCTCTTGAGCCATTGTTGTGTGTTTTTTGGTGGTTTTGAAGCTTGAGCAGGAAGAGGAAGCTTGAGGGTGCTAGAGGAAGCAAGTACATCTAGAGTTTGTGCTCCATTTCCAGCTCATTTGAGGTATAAAGTATATACCTTGACTATTCATTTGTTAGATCCCCTTCATGGAGCAGTTTAGGGCCTTAAGGAGCCATTTTTGGAACCATTCATGGATGCAAGCATGTTTTCGGGTATTGGCTTCAGATCTGGAACCTTTGAGGGACTCCATGGCATAAAGGTGCCAACTTTATGGCCATGGGTGTCCCATGCAACTTGTGAACCTCATTTTAAGGCCTTTTGAGCTAGATAAGTCATGCATGAACATAAAGTTTGTAACTTTACGTGTTATGTTGACCCTAGGAGGCCAGATCTACGTTTTGGATGCATTTAGCCCGACTAAAATCGACTGTATGGATTTAGACTTTGGGGAACTCGATGAGTCGTTCTTAGGACTCGGCGAGTTGGGTCATGGTTCCCCAATCTTTTCTGTTGCTGAAAAAACTTGTTGAGTCTAGAAGATGACTCAACGAGTTGGACGTGTTTATGGACTTGAAGATCAAAGAACTCGACGAGTCCAAGGATGAACTCGGCGAGTCATAGCAAATGTCATGACTTGTATGAAGGAGAACTCGAAGAGTCCAAGGAAGGACTCGACGAGTTCAAACGGAAAGTCCCGATTCTGTCATAAAGAGAAACTCGGTGAGTTAGAGGGTAACTCGACGAGTTAGATCGTGAGTTCGAGATTCTCTGAATCATGGAACACGATGAGCTGACGAACGAACTCGGCGAGTTGAGTCAACTAGAATGTTGAGTTGGACCAGAAGGTTGACTTTGAACAGGGTGTTGTCCTTTGACTTGACAATTGACCCGAGTTGACCCTTAAAGGGGTTATAAGTTTGAAAGAGTAATTAAAAGAGATGTTATGTGTAGGACTTTGAGGAGAGTTGATCCCAGCACCGAGGACAGTTCAGTTACTGCACGACATTGAGGTGAGTTACCTTCCAGTAGAAGTGGGTCTAAGGCACCAATGCCGGCCCACTAGTAAGAGTTATATTAGAGATGATTGTCTTTGTGATAATTATCTGGTATGTCACTATTTGTTATGCTTTATGTGCTAGTATGCTATGATGCTATGTGATAGAGGTAGAAGGGGTAGGATAGACCCCAGTACCGGTCGATAGGGCCGAGGGGATATGTCAGCACCTGAATAAGCTAGGTAGTATATGACATATACGTTTATGCACTAGGATGCTATGAGGTAGAAGTAGGGGTGAAATAGTCCCAGGTACCGGTCGAAAGGACCGAAGGGGTAGGACATCACCCTGATATGCTTGGCGAGGTTCCAATCGATAGGAACGAAGGGGTAGGCCAGCACCTTGATATGCTAGGCAAGTTACCGGCCGACTGGGCTGAAGGGGTAGGCCAGCACCCTGATATGCTCGGCAAGTTACCGGTTGAAAGAGGCCGAAGGGGTAGCTAGTACCCGGTTATGTATGTGTTATGTATGGTATGTGGTATGATGGGGGAACTCACTAAGCTTTGTACTTACGATTTTTAGTTTTTTTTTCAGGTCCTTCTTCTTCGAAGGGAAAGGAGCCGGCACGGTAGTAACGCATCACACACATGATTTTCCGCATACGAGATTCTTGGGATTTGTACTATGACATTATTACTATCTTATGACATATTTTTGAGACTGATGATTTATGGTTTTATGAAATGAAATAACTAGATTAGGTTTTTTTAAATTGTTTTATAAATTGCTGTAGTAAAAAAATGAAATTTTTGGTCTCGAATTTTGGGATGTTACAAGTTGTTATAAGAGCCTTGGTTTAAGGGTTTTGGACACACCTTCGGGGGTGTCTGGACTCAAATCGAGGGTTTGAAAGATTTTTACAAGAAAATAGTTTTTCTAAAATTTAAAATAAAGATTTTTGAGAAAGAACAAGGTATGTGATGTGTGCAATCGGCCGAGCTCAAGTAAGTTTTCCCTAAGATAATCATACATGTTTGTTATGATATATGATATAATTATGAGAACTGCATGGTAGATTAGGACTAAGGATCTGGGAAGGATGCCTTATATGCCCGTTATATGTATGAGAACTGCATGCTAGATTAGGGCTAAGGATCTAGGAAGATGCCTTATGTTCCTACTTTATGTGCTTATTGAACTTCATGCTAGAGCTGATTAGTCAGTGATATGATGGCCTAGATAAGATATGCTTGGTATGGTTACTCAATGCTCGAATGCTGCTTGCTTTGTGCTTTTAGAAATTCTAGTTATCTTTAACTAACTAGTAAACGAATACGTTAAGTTACATATTGCATCGACTAAATAATTTCAGAAGGTTAGGTCTAGCCCTATTTCACAGCACTTGTCTGACTCCAACCGTTGTAGGGTAGGATCTCTCATTCGAAAAATTATCTGGTCTTAGTGATATGTAATGGTATTCACAAGCTAGTTAGGTAAAGGTAGCAAGGACTTTTTATGCAGCTGATGGCGGAGAGTAGGTCGGAGAGTTACCCTAGGGGAAGCCTAGGATGAGATTAGCGCAACGAGCAGTAGTAATGGAAGAGACTTGGTGAAGTCAAGGGAATCCTTGAGGAAAGTACGGATATATGTGGAAGGTAGTATGGGCCGTACTACTGAAAGTAGAGGATCCGTACTCGAGACAAGGAGGGCTGAGATAGAACCAAGGAACTTGTAGAGTGTGTGAGACCTCTCGAGGTTATATATGACCCTAACGATTATATGTTTTGTTTTAGAATGGTGGTGACATGTCACGGAGCAGGAGGTTCAGGGTCTGGTTCAGGATCAGGTTCAGGTTCGGGTGTAGGTTCCGAGCCAGTTGATGACGGACTACGCGAGTTCATCTCGTCTGAGATCACGAGAGGCATCCTTGAGGCGAACCCCGGTGATTTTCGGGTCGATCAAGGAAGGGATTATCGAGCTGATGGAGGAGCGCCTCAGGGTGTTCAGGAGCGACATGACATCTGGCCAAGCAGGGACACGTACACTCTCCTTCAAGGATTTA